TGATCCTGTCAACAAGGGTGAGGGTGTCGGGTTCCCTGATCGAACTTGTGATGGCAAATATTCCCCTCTTCGAGCTGATGTCCACTTCCCCTCATGTTACAATCCCGAGGCTGGCCTCACCGACTTCAAGAACAACATGGCCTACCCCGAGGACAATGACGGTTATCTCGACTGCCCTAAGGGTTGGATTCACGTTCCTCACCTTTTCTACGAGGCTTACTGGCGCACCGACAAATTTACTGGCCGTTGGACTGAGGGTGAGGGCAAGCAGCCCTTCGTCTTCTCCAATGGCGACGTTACTGGATACAGCAGCCATGCCGACTTCATGGCCGGTTGGGACGAAGACCTCCTCCAGCATATCATTGACACATGTAACGCCGGTACCGAGGGTATGGACCACTGCCCAGGCCTGACTTACGGCCTCAACAAAGGCGACTGCACCATTGAGTCCGAGGTCGATGAAAAGATTACTGGCACCTTGAGCAAGCTTCCTGGAAACAACCCTTTGAGTGGATTTTCTTATGGCGATAAGGCCCCTTCAATGCCCTCCGGCGGCGACAAGGAGAGTAGCCCCAGCAAGCCTTCTGCCCAATCCTCCGCCAGCAAACCGGCTTCTGGGGAGAAGACCACTGCCGCTGAACTCCCCGGCTACACCAAGCCAGCTTCTGATGCCACTGATGTCCATGAGGAACCAGTTGCTCCAAAGCCTACTCTACCTTCCAACCCTGCAGCTGTGTCTGAGGCGGCTGCTCAAGCAACCGATGTTTTCTCCAGTGTCCCCAAGCCAACCGACGTCTTCGACAAGCCCGAAAAGCCCAAGAAGTGTAAGACTAGAGTTCATACAGTCTGGAACACCGTGACAGTCACGCAGACAGCCAGTCTGCCTGTCCAGACTGAGGCTGGCACTCCTAGCTACAAGAGAGATCATGTTCGACGACATGCTTACCACCATGGCAATGGACACAACCATCTCCGCCGCCGTAGCCACCTCCGTCGCTAACCATTGCTTACTGGCGAACTCGATCTGCTAGTAGCCTACTTTGAATGGCAGGTCTAGGTGGCAGAAAGCTTTTTTCTCATTTCTTGTGATGGTGCATCTACGGAGCATCTTGTATAGGGGTCCAGTGACCACTTCGCTTCCTTAGACCGGAGAATATAAGGTTGGCGATTTCATGGACAGGTATTTTGATTCAAGTTGCGTGGTGCAAGGGAACAGAATTAAGGGGGAGGAAGAAAGTTGTTGGATGATTCGCTTCTACACGTGTACATTTATGGAGGACATACCTTGCTTGCCAAGGGCCCAAAGCGCTCGAGCGCACATCTTTTGCCCGTCATGAATCCAGGGCATATGCAAAATACATTGAACCTCAGCACACAAAAGTGATCAAAAGTATCATCGGCATAGTAGCCACGCCCGTTTCTAATCCTACTAGTAACCATGTTGCTCGATTGCGGAATCTGTTGTCAGCCTAGGAGTTTGGACTCTGAACTTAACAATACTACAACAGTCTCCGTATATCCTCAGTTGCTCTAAGCTATTATTGTGCCATATTGTATTTTTACTTTCGTCCAGTCGCATTCCGAAAACCCTTCCTCAAAGCACACCAGATACAGTAGTACACTTATAACTAATAACTTTGCTGGTCGGCTAAAGTTCGGTTGGAAATTGGACGAACGTCCAGCCTTTCTCTCTCTTACATTTTCTTCTTCACCACACGACTCTTGGTCTCCCAAAACCACATTGAAAATGTCTCTTTATCATGAGGCAGCAGAGATCCTAGCGGGATCGTCGTCTGAAGGTGGCAGTCTCAAGTCGCGTGTTTTCAAGAAAAAAAACCTTAAATCCGCACCAACCCAAGTTTTTGCCTTGGTGTTAGAAAGTTGCAAATGGAGCATCATTCTGAAAGAAGTGATTGAGAGATCAGAACTTCTGAAACTTGAGCGCAAGGTTTGCATCCCGACCCTACATAAGACTATGGAACGTCTATACTGAATCATGCACGCAGCTGACCCCGACGTTGTCATTACTTCTTGTCCATGACCTTTTATTGGCCAAGAAGGGAATTGCTCTTCCACAAGGCCATGGGCTTCGTGCATCAATTGAGAGGCACAAAGGACGCATCAGCTCAGAGTTCAAGCTCGCGCGGCTTCGGAGAAAGATGCCAACACTCGAGGCTTTGAGAGAGCAAGTTGAGAGACAATGCGCTGGCGAAGAAGCGAATTACCCTCGCTGGGTTCGTGTCAATGCTGTAAAGAGTACACTGGAAGAACAGTTGGAGACGACGTTCTCCAAGTACACTAGAGCCACATCCATCAAGGAGGTCGTCACGAACACTGGAAGGCTCATATACATCGACCCACATGTGCCAAACCTCTTGGCCATCACTGCAGGGACAGATCTCACAAAATCCGAGGCGTACACAACGGGCAAAATCATTCTACAAGATAAAGCCTCTTGTTTCCCTGCTTATCTTCTAGATCCCAGAGTAGAGGATGGTGACCTGATCGACGCATGCTCTGCTCCTGGCAATAAGACAACTCACTTGGCAGCGATCCTCAAAGAACATAGACCCGAATCCAGTACGTCAGAGCAGACAATCTATGCATTCGAAAAAGACTCTCGACGAGCACAAACTTTGGAGAAAATGGTCAAAATTGCAGGTTCAAAGCCTATGACAAAGATTGGATTTGGACAAGACTTCCTACAAGTCGACCCTATGGCAGAGAAGTACAAGTCCGTCGGAGCTTTGCTACTGGACCCAAGTTGCTCAGGGAGTGGAATTGTCGGACGAGACTCGATGCCGGACCTTCAACTGCCAGAAGGTATTAATAGCACAGGAAAGGGTCCGACAGTAAAGCAAAACGGACGCAAAAGGAAACATGAGCAGACAGTGGCAACTGAGGACAGAATCATGATAGATGATGACGGTAACGAGACAGCCATCAAGTCGAAGAAGGATTTAGAAACACGCTTGGAGGCGCTTTCTTCTTTTCAACTAACGCTTCTATTACACGCCTTCAAATTTCCATCAGCAAAACGAATCACATACTCCACTTGTTCAGTCCACATGCAAGAAAACGAGCGTGTTGTCATGAGAGCTCTCGAATCCGACATTGCGAAGCAAAGGGGTTGGCGCATCCTGTTGCGGAAAGATCAAGTTTCCGGTCTGAGAGAATGGCCCGTCCGAGGACTGCCTGAAGCATGTGGAGGTGACGAAGATATAGCAGAAGCTTGCATTCGCTCCTATAAAGATGACGGGCAAGGTGTTATGGGCTTTTTTGTGGCTGGTTTCGTGAGGCCCGATGTACAAAAGTTCGGGACCAGCGACAACGAGGGTCCTTACGTGCGAGGCGATAATGGTGTGATCATTCGTGACATGCTCGGTATGCCAGTCTTGAAAACGACTGGTGAGCATGTCTCTTTAACGGCAAGAGATGATAACAGTGGTAATAGAAAGGAAGAAGAAGAGGGTGTGGATGTGGATGAGGATGAGGAGGAAGATGAGGATTCACAAAGCGAGAGTACTAGCAGCACTGCAGCACATGATCTCAATGCTCGTCAGATCGCGTTTGATGCACGTCAAGGAGCTTGCACAGACGAAGATGAGTGGGAAGGCCTTGAAGATTAAACCGGCAGCTCTGGAAAGCGCAGGGTATTTCTTTTGGCAGGCCGCAAGACGTGATGTCACAGCCACCGAGATCTGATCCCTGACGACAAACGGCTCCTAGCGGATTGAATCTGCACCTCCTCAATCAAGGACGAAAAATAGGGGATAACTTAAAGGACGAAAGACAGCATGGTATCAGGTGATTCCATCCATCCTACGTGAATATGCCTCCACAACTTTTTATCCTGATCGGCAGGCGGTTGTCTGGATGAATCCGAACCCCGTTTGCTTTCTTTTTCATATCAAGAGTTTAGTACGTCACCGTGTTGCAACCATCACATCGCGGCGCACTCTGCCGCCAAGCATCTCATCCATCTTCTCGACTTGATCTGATGGACTGAGATCAACCCGGGGGCACTGTTGGATTTACTAGGCGTAATAGTTCGAGAAACTATCAAACGGTATCGTTGAGTCCAGGCTTCGAGTTGAGTTTCCGTCTCATTGATCAGAATTATATAATGGGGCTCAAAAGAATACACCGGCTCGTGCGAATCCGAATCGCGGACGACAAAACGGATGTTGAAGACGCCGAGGGCCGATGATAAACTAATATACCACATTATGATAGCAAAACCTTAACTGCTTATCATTAGTCAAATAAGGTTGGCGGGGTTCGGCTCGATTGATTTGCGATTAATAGCCTACCTAACTATATGTGTTCATCAAAGTCAGCCTGATATCTCCCGATGGGGTCGAGACGTGTTTGACAGAGTGCCATCGCCGAAATAGTCTATAGACGATCAGAAGCCCTGGAAGGGAACTACATTGTCGGTTGTCGTATGCAAATCCGTCCTGTTGGGCCTCCAGTCCTCAGCTCAAGGCTGGCCAAATGCTAGACAAAATGTTACACGAGCGGGTGCAGCTACAGGGAAAATGAGCTTGGGGACGGGATTCAAACGGATTTCGGCTGATTGGAAGGCTTGATGGTTGCTACCTAGTACCCGTGTGTGGCATTCATTGGTGTTTGCTAAATGCTTCGTGCCTAAAAGCAACTGATAGAGCATATGCCGACCCGTGTCACGTAGGATAACAGTCTGCACATACGCTCTAACGCTCCCTGGTCTAAAGAAAGGAAGATGGGCCGTGAATCTGAATAGGGACCTGACAAGACGAAGATCTATCTGAGATGGGTATAATACCTTGGCATGTGCCGTTCTTAGTTGCTCTGATTCTAGCTCTTGACCTGCGAGATTAGATGTTAGTGTACCGACCTAAGGTGTACACCCAAATAAGACACGACTATTTATATTGAACTTTGTTCGGCTCATGACTGTCTATACTTTTCCGTGAGCGGCGTCACACAATTGTAAGACTGGAACACACATCGCCATCATGACGGTCGCTACACAGCTGCAGCCTCCTACCTCTTCATCTTCTTCAACAATAGCCAATGCAACCGACGTCGAGTCACAGCAGATAAATGCCGAGACCTCACACTTCAATCTTATTCTTGACCAAGCCGGCCTTACTGACGCTGTTCTTAACCACAACTACCCTGGTCATGGAACAGAAGACTCACCATATCTTGTTGAGTTCCTTCCCAACGACAATCGAAATGCATTGAACTTCTCACCGTCAAAGAAGTGGCTTATTACAATCTTGCAGGCCATAGCAACATTGGCCGTTACCTTCGCCAGTACGGCATACTCTGGAGGCCTTTCATCCATCTTGATGCACTTCCACGTCTCAACCGAAGTTGCTATACTTGGTGTTTCCATGTTCGTCCTTGGTTTTGCTGTTGGACCCCTGATGTGGGCACCTCTTTCAGGTTAGACTACCCAAACCTAGCGAGGGCCTTGCGAAGGCAGAGAAGGTCTTCTTGGCAGGTGACTGACTAACAGATATCTCAGAGCTCTATGGCCGACAAATCCCATTCTTTGTCTCTTTTATGGCCTTGACCGCATTCAATGCAGGTGCGGCAGGTGCCCCGACCATAGCGGCCTTGATAGTCCTTCGTTTCTTTGCAGGCTCTTTTGGATCATCGCCATTGAGCAACGCGGGCGGTGTTATTGCTGACATGTTCGAAGCTCGAGATCGAGGACTCGCTACCGCTCTCTTTGCCGTGGCCCCTTTCCTGGGCCCTACTATTGGTAGGCCACCCCCCTACGCAGAGTTCGACACACAAACCTCAAGGCTCTCGGTATCGCGAAGAAGACGCTGACTATTCCAAAACAGGCCCCATTGCTGGCGGGTTTCTTGGCGAGAGCGAAGGCTGGCGCTGGGTGATGGGAATGACCTCAATCTTCACCGGTGTTGTATGGATCGTTAACTCACTGGTGATACCTGAAACCTATGCCCCCTATCTCTTGCGTCGCCGAGCAGCCGTCCTTTCCAAAAGGACGGGGAAGATTTATATCTCCAAGTTGGATGTTGGTCGTCCTCACACTACTATTACCACACAATTCAAGACTGCGATACTTCGCCCCTGGGTCCTGCTAATTAAAGAACCCATTGTTCTACTAACCTCACTGTATATGGCCATCATCTATGGAACACTATACCTCTGCTTTGCTGCCTTCCCAATCGTCTTTCAGCAAGGTCGCGGATGGAGTCCAGGAATCGGAGGGCTTGCTTTCTCTGGCATCGCTGTGGGAATGCTATTTGCAGTTACTGGGACTATCTTGGACAATAAACGATACGCCCGGGCTGCGGAAGCCGCAGGCGGTCATGCACTTCCTGAAGCTAGGCTGCCCCCTTCACTTATCGGCTCAATACTTATTCCAGTCGGCCTCTTCTGGTTTGCCTGGACAAATGGCAAAGATGTGCATTGGATCGTGTCTATCATAGGCTCAGCGTTTTTCGCTTGCGGCTTGGTTTCAGTTTTTCTTTCACTTCTAAATTACCTCGTCGATTCATGTGAGTCTTCTTGCAGCAATGCTTCTCGTGTCTTTCAGCCCATCCGAGGTTTTCTAACTAAATCAGATGTCATCTTTGCTGCTTCAGTATTAGCTGCAAACTCGATCCTGCGTTCCCTCTTTGGCGCTGCCTTTCCCCTCTTCACGACATATATGTACAAAAACCTCGGAACTCATTGGGCCAGTTCGATTCCTGCCTTCCTGGCTGTCGCTTGTGTTCCGTTCCCATTCTTGTTCTACAAATACGGGGAAACCATCCGTATGAAGTGCGAGTACGCTACAGAGGCTGCCAACGTCCTTCAAAAGATGCGCACGAAGCACGAGGTGATCACGGAGGATCAGGCGGCTCAGGAGGTTCATCAGGCCGAGTTGGAGCGACGGGCGAGCAATGCTCTTCGCCGCAGCTTAACAAAGACTCACACAAGCAAGTCTATTCAATGAGGCACTAGTGCACCAGTATTCCTTATCTCCTTTTCTCAAATGTGTGATAAGTATATATCGACGTCTCACGAGATAGGGATCTGGGCCTTAACACACCCGATGGCCATTGTCGCCCGACCTGTAGAAAGCAACCTCAAGGTTGGTAAGATTTGAATTTCTCTGTGCGCAGTGGGTGTTGGTCCAGATGTGGGTTTGGTTCCAAAAACGAGCCGATGTAGGAGCAAAAAGTCTTGTATGGTCCAATTGCACGATGCGGTCAAATGTATTCTAGTGGCAGCTCTGAGCAGGAGTAATGGTAACGTTGATGAATCAAACCTCGCACCGCGTGTTAACATGGCTGGGTTCTATCCAAACCAAGATCTGAATTTGTTATGGCCGCCCCTTCCCCTTTCGTTGCGCCTCTGTCATTCTGCTTGATTCGTGTTTTCTCTTAAAATAGAATTCGGATAACTACCTAGATCGGCTAATACGCGACCAGCGTAGTGAGACCTCGGTAAGTGATTGTTGAGCAGATCTTTTTCTTTGAACACCTGGGCATCTTAGGGAGGCACACTTGTTTCCACGTCCGGGCCATTCCCAACACCTGGCTCAATGACCAAGATCAATCCTCTGCTTGGGGAAAGCTACCCACCAGTTCAGCCACAAGGGATAAGGGCTCTCTGTGATGGTTTTGATAATTTCAGTGGCTCGTTAGGCTCAGTTGAGAAGTACCTCGGGTACCTGCATTGACGAGGTTTTAGCGACACATCTCCCGTGCTGGACCCTGTAAGTTTAGAAAGCTTAAATTTTCAACATAAAACACCAACATATATAAATTCGTGATAATCACAGTTAGCTAGGATTGTGAAGCATACTAATTCCTTAATATGAATATTCCCCTCAATTAACAAGAAATATAATAGATATACTGTACTGCCTATCATAATAAATCTGGTAGCATACCTTACTGGCTATCGCTTTTGCCAAAACGTTCTGCTGGTACCTGAAAATAGGGAATCACGTGCACTTGCGCATAACCCGCTCATGGCTTCCTCTTTTATATCAAAAAATCATCACAGATTCGTCGTCAAAGCATCCATCGGCATCCCATCGAAAGATGAAAAAGCGACGTCGCTATGAACGATTGGCCGCCGAGTCATAATGCTTATCATCAAAGCATCAATCGGCATCACACATTCCGTCGTCAAAGCACCCATCGGCATCACACATTCTTGTCGTCAAAGCATCAATCAGCATCACACATTCCGTCGTCAAAGCATCAATCGGCATGACCGTAAGTAAAACAATACATACAAGCTTGCTACAGGATTGAGAGCTACATGCTAACATATATATAGAATCAATATATTTTTTTTTGGTCGCCGTCAGTCTTATTCGGGGCTATCGAGCATTTAGCTTTTCAAACAGAGGCTTAAACAGTGAATAGAATCAACATAATACAATCAATGTTGGCGGTTCGGGGGATGGCGCTGGTGGTGGCTCTGGAGGTGGCTCTGGAGGTGCAACTACGTAAATATAATTTTTATTCTACTACCTTTTCGCTTGATTGCAATCTATACACTTGAGATTGAGCTCTATCCCTTGGTCAGCATCACTTTGCTTATGGCAAGCTGCTGGGAAATGTTAATATCAAGCGCAGTGTGCTTCTGGTTTTATACGCTTTACCACCCTAACCCTCATTCATCTCTCAATCTCTCTGTCCAATGCTTGTTTTTTCTTTTTTCCTTTTTAAAACAAAAAAGAAAGGAATATTCTACGAGGATCCCGACTTTTTCGAGGCATATCACATCATGGTTAGGACATCAAAGCGTTCGCGAGGAACACGCTTAGACTGGATTATCTTTGTAATTAGGTTGGTCATACAAAATAGTCATAATGATCTCGCCTCATTACTCATTAACGCAGTCTACCATCAAGACATCTGTCGAAATTGACAAACAAGCCTTTACATTACCCGTGTTTATCGCCACATTAAGCTCCATTCCTATACACCTGAGCACCTTGGTTTCTAAACATGATCGTGTCTCTCCGTTGAAGAACCATTAACGCTCGGTTCAACGCTTGTTCGCTGTATCCTTTGCCCTCGACCATTTCCCTCCTAAGTGTAGATAGGCTAGTACTCCAACCGATAGGCAAGCGACGTTTGAGCTCTGTCTCAAGGCGGTTAACTTCATCGTTCAACTCGCGACTCCCCTGATTGCTGCCCTGGTTGACGGCATCCATTGTAGAGCACAGGAACAGTCGAATGGCCTCGTCGACATGTACTTCGGTGGCGATGGGTGAAAGGGTGAGCTTAGCAAGAGACTCAGTGATACGAACGATAGCCTCAAGTTGACGGACTGTGATGGGAATAGAGGAACGTGTGTTGGCTTCCATCTCAGCAGCATGGACCTGGCGTCGGATAGAGACGAAGTGAGAAGAAAGCTTTTCAGCAGCCTCGGAACTTAGTCTGGGTGCACAGCGTCTGTCGGATATCAGTATAAAAAAACAAGATTGTAAAGGTTGGAATTGCAACTCACGTCTTGCAGTAGGTGATGTATCGTCGCATCTTGTCGATGGGAATTTCGGTTTCAGTCATGTCCTCGGCGCCTCTACCATTCATCTGGATACTGAGAACGTGCTTGGCCATAGTCTCATCCTTCTCGCGGCTATGGTCATCCTTGACAATGAAAATCATATCAAAACGTGACAGAATAGTAGTCTGAAAGTCGATGTTTTCTCCAGGAGTCTTCATATCATCATACCGACCAAAGATAGGATTGGCAGCAGCCAAGACTGATGTTCGCGCATTCAGAATAGTGGTGATACCGGCCTTTGCGATGGAAATAGTCTGCTGTTCCATAGCCTCATGAATCGCAACTCGATCTTCGTCTCTCATCTTGTCGAATTCATCAATACACACGACTCCTCCGTCAGCCAAAACCATGGCACCGCCCTCGAGATAGAATTCCCGAGTGGATTGATCACGCTGAACAGATGCTGTCAGACCTGCAGCGGAGGAGCCCTTTCCCGAGGTGTATATAGAGATAGGAGCCGTTTTCTCGACAAATTTCAGAAGCTGTGACTTGGCTGTACCGGGGTCACCAAGAAGCAATACGTTGATGTCGCCTCTCAATTTCATTCCATCGGGAAGGATTTTCTTTGAGCCACCTAACAGCAAACAAAGAATTGCCTTCTTGATATCGCGGTTACCGTAAATAGAGGGCGCAATGCAGTCGGCCATCACGTTGTATATATCGGGCCGTCTGCTGAGCTCCAGAAATTCTTGCTCCTCTTCCTCTGAGAAAGTCGCATTTCCCTTGGCTGCTTGATCGATATCTGTCTGGATCCCAACCGCTCTGAGATAAGGGGTACGGATTGCTACAGCACCACCATTGGAAGAGTTCTTAGAAGCCTTGTTTTGGTAGATCGAGAAGATGCCCATAACAGTACATCTCGATCCGGGAACAACCCTGTTTGTGAGGTATCTGTCAGCTGAGATGAGAACGTGTCGAGGCAGTTCTCCGACAGGGACTTGATCGGGAGCCTCTTGAAGCTTGATGATCTGTTGATCAACAAAGCCAGACTTTTCGTGAACAACAAAGTAGGGATCCAAAGGACATTTCGGAGTTGGATCGTTGGGAACTCGGCTACGGGCACATTGCCGAGGCAGAGTGACACCTGTGAAGCCACCTAGAACTGGGATGTTTTGTGTGTGCCCGCAGTTGCGGCATTGAATATGGAGTCCTGTCGCCTTGGATGACATAACAGAGGCGCCAATGACAATACCCGGGACTCGCACCAGTCGCGCGATGGTCACGGAATCGAGATTACGGATCGAGACGTCGTCGGCATTCGAGTGAAGAAGAAGTTGGTGATCAGGGATCTCGGCCTTGGGCTCATGAGGGAAAACGATACGGTGTGTGCATTTTTTTAGTGCATTTTCAAACTATTGACTTGTTAGAGATTTATATATTGCGCGCTGCGTGGTCCCTACCAGAGGGATAATCTCTGCTGGCTCAGATGTCAATCGGTGGGCGAGCTCTTCGTTAAAGCTGATCAAGTCGTTGATGTTGACATCACAGAAGTATCTCTTGAGGAGGGCATTCTCTCGGAGTTGATCTCTACAGCACCGTTATTATGAAGAACTGCCGAGGGCTAGATATCTGGGGGCAAACCTGTAGACGAAGTTGTTATCCAGTCGAAAATCAAGGATGAATGTTTCAAGCTGTGTCTGGAGCTGCATTCGAGTATCGCCATTTTCAGCGTAGCTCGGCTCATAGACATGAGCCGAGTAGATTGATCCGCGGTCCATTGTGTATCTGCGTGATGTTGAATAATCTGGTGAATCACTCCTTTCCTTACGCTGCAATCCTAAAAGTTGACCAGGGAGTTTGGAGATCTTGTTTGTGGATCGATGGAGGGGCTTCACTCCGCAAGTTGGAAGGGTAACCTTAGGTCAATTTACGCGAAAACGCGCAGTCCCTCGAGACGCGACGCGTGTATAGTGGTTGCAGCTCTACCCCATACCTTAAGGGACAGTTATCAAAAGCTCAGCGCTTATCATCACGTGTTGACGCCAAGGCAATAATCGGTTTAGGGGGGGAAGTTGCGTAACTTACAAGGTGTCTAGACGGCGAGATACTGAAGGTAATATTCAAGACCCTTTTGGTGATGATGGCGCATTCTTGATACCGACCCTCTCTTTTTTCTCTTTACTTAACTGTCCTTTCAAATCTTACCTATCATATACATTTGATGGTGCACATTTTGTTTGCAATCCTTTGAGCGATGATACCCTACTAATACACCATCTACATCGCACATTCACCTCTGAAGCTGTCCTTACTTATCCGGATCTCCATTGATCATGTTCTCTCCCAGCTCTCCCAACGCTACCAAGTCTGCGGACAACCTTGCAGCATTGTCGCCTATAGGTCGTGGGGAGCTTCCCTTTCACAGGTAGTCTTAGGTGCTTTTATTGCATACTAACAAAGGAGACTAACTTGATCGCAGCAACA